TTTTTTTGAGGACTTCGCGATATTTTTTACCTCTTCTTAAGTGGCGCGCTTAGTAGCTTTACGGAAAGAAGCCTCTTTTTTTTTTTTTTTTTTTTTTTTTTTTTTTTTAAAACCCATTTTTTAACCTATTTTTAAAAGTTGTTTTTAAGCCCATTTTAAGGCTTTTTTAACCTATTTAAAATTTTTTTTTAAACCCATTTTAAAGTTTTTTTTTAAACCCATTTTAAAGTTTTTTTTTCCCCTTTTTTTTTTTTTTTTTCCTTTTTTTTTTAACCCCTTGACCTTTCCCGTGGTATATATTTGCCCCACAGCGGGAAAGGGGAAGCGGTGCCTTTTCGTGTCAACAGTGGAAATGTGGGTGAATTGGCCCCAATTTTCAACGGCACTCTTTTTGCGTAATTTTGTTTCTACGGCTTTGTTTGGCCAAAAAAAAAGGGAAACATGTACAAAAAAAAAAAAAGTTATAATTATTTATGTTTCATATGTATGTTATGCTCTTCATTTGAATAGCATAACTGTGTGACCCATTTTGCTAATTTATTTTGAAAAAAAAAAAAAAAAAAAAGCGAATTGGGAATTGTTTTTTTTTCCCCCACACCTTGTTTTTATTTGGTATGTACACCGGGCAGGTCAAAAAGTTGCCTCGGGGAGAAAAACAGCTCTGTTCTGTCCTGTCCTGCTTTGTCCCAGTCTGTTTTTCTGTCGTCTTCTCTTTATTTATTTTTTTTTTTTAATTTTATTTTTTTTGTCGTTTTGATTTATGTCCCTCACCCCCGTTTTTATCTCCGTTGTGAAGACATTAGAGAAATCGGGAGGAAAATTTCCATGTCTTGCTGATTTTTCTTCCATTGGAGAGGAGAGGGGTGATAGACGAAGTGAATGGTCCCACGCGATAAGATCCTGCACTCTGCGCAGAAGACGCATTGCGCGGAAGACACACTGCGCACGGAAGGGCGCTGGGTAGACAGGGAGCCGCGTATGACCTGTTCCCCGCAGGCAGATCTCGTGGTGCACCCCCGCGTGTGGATTTTGCAGCGTAACGGGAGACACACATCACCCCATGGTGATAGAATCCCTCCCCCAAAAAAAATGAAACAACAAAAATGAATAAAAACGCAAAGAATAAAAGCTACTTAGATATCCTTCGGTTTTATAACAAAGATGAATATCAGCAGGGTTTGTATTTTGGTGGGGGGTTAGAAAGTCAGGTCGGACTTCAAGGTGGTAGTTCGTTTTGTAAATCCTTGAAGAAGCAACGTGTTCTGAACGAACGCAATTGGAATGGAGGGGATTCGCGTGAAGAGAATGATGAGCAACATTTGGGGGAAGACAAAGCGAGTCTACACACAGACTCCTTTTTCAAAACCCTCTTTTGGAGTCAGAAGATGGCGAACAGCAACATGAGCAGCAGCCATTATCCGAGCAAGTGTCGCCGCAGCAACCCGTTCGAGGAAGAAGAAAATAATAATGCTCATAAGAGAAACATAAAAAAAATGGTCACGTGTGCAAGTGGAGGGAATAGAGTTAAACCAATACACAACGAACACAAAATAATTCAAGATTTGAAAAGAGAGCAGAGGATGAAAATGATTTGTGTGGAGAAGGAACATGGGTTGATTAGAAATTATCAGAAGAAAATGGCTAGCTGTTTTTTTACATACAAGAGGAAGAAGACCTGCACCATCTGCTTCCTTAGTAATAATTTGGAGAACATGGAAAAGTGTAGAAATTGCTCCCTGCACTTTCACGTGTACTGCTACAAGATGTTTCGAGACGATTTCAATTTGAGCAATTTTGTGTGCGACGTGTGTGTGGACTATGAGGGGGGAGCGCATTGTGTTGAGGTAGGTCGAAGGAGTAGCCGTACCAAGTGTAACGAGGCCGCCCACTACGCGGCCAATTATGCGCCCAATCATGCCCCCCCCCAGCGCACGGGGGAGCACTACAGAAAGTACCACTTCTCCTACAAGAGGAAAGATGAAGACGCGACAGAGGGACCCCTCGATTGTGGCCCCCAAGTGGAGGAAGACCAAGAGCAAAGTGATTCTTCCCCCAGGAAAAGGCGATTTTTTAAATGCCTCAGTGAAGCCGAGTTTGTCAACAGTAATGACCTCCTCCCTGCGCAAGGGGGTCAACAAGTGAATGGGACATTTAAAAAGAAAGCAGAAGGTGCGAAGAGGACACTCACCGATGATTGCTTCCACAACAATGTGATATATCACCGTGATGTCGCATACCACTCCGACACGAGATGTAATAAAAAGCTTAGTCATGATATAGGGCCTTATATTAAGAAGGCAAAGAGGCAATTAAAAAAAAAAATTGCTTTAGAAAAAACTCCTGAAAGGGTGTCTAAAATGATGGGTAAATTATTAAAGCCTTTGGTGAGCTACAAAAAGGGTTCTCATGGGAAGGTGTCCTCCTACGGGAGGTCCTCCCGCTCCATGCTGTTTCATTTACAACAAAGTGAATTTAGTATATCCCCCCACGATGGAAAAAAGAGTACCCAGTATATGCACGCAATTCAGTACAAGCTCCACGAGCAAGAACGAGCAACTCAACAAATAAAGTGTAGCATTTGTAATGGCCTTCACAAAAATGTCCTCATGATTAGGACTGGCCCAGACTTATGGTTCCACCTCTGTTGTTTATACTACAATGACATAACTAAATGTTTCTCCCTCATGCATGTTTACTTTGAGTGTTTTTTTTTCAAGTATTACAATGAAGATTATTTTATTAATATGTATTCCAAGCTTAAAGGCGTTAATGAAATGATCATTCAAAAGATAAAGCATGAATTGCTCAGCAGCTACAACACCACAATACACAGTCACTCATTTAATTTTCTTATGAATCCTTACTACTACAATTTGACGCTCAAGCAGATTAAGAATTTAATTTTTTACAATTTCATTTTACACACAAATGTTTTGTATGGAGGGTACAGTGGGTGTGGTACTTCAACTGTTCATGTGTCATCGGTCGGGAGCAGTGGTGAAGCGGAGTGCACTGTTCAGGGAGTATTGTGTGCCAACCTGAATTGTGAAAATTTGTGTGAAATGAACTTTAGTTCGAAGGACAAGAATCGCGTGGGAGAATCATCCAGCTGCTTACGATCGAGCAGGAGGAGGAGGGAGGACAGTCAGAAGGGTGATCATCCTTCCCGCATGGATGTACGTGGTAAATTAGATAGTCCTGATGAGTGCTGCTCCAGTTTAAGTAGTGCCGACAGTAGCTACGTCGCAAGTAGTAGTGCGTCCAGCTGTAGCGACTCCTCCTCTGATAGAGGCAACACGAGAGACGGAACACAAGATTTGGAAGAAGGAGAATATGAAGACGACCCAGAAAATGACCCATATGTTGATGAGGAGGAAGAGATAATGAGTTTGCACAGCCAAAATGGATTTACCAATATGTACTGCATGGATACGAACAACTGCACTGTTGTCACGGAGGACAATTATTACATTACAGACGTCGTTCATATTATAAGTAATCACACAAGGAACGAAATCAATCTTAGTGTGAACAAGCAAAACGAATTGAATTCATTCTTCAAGGAAATTGAACAGCTTATTTATAAGAGGGACTTCATTCACTTGAGCATTCTCAAACAGATTAAGGAGAAAATCCTCGAGTCAGTCCTCAACAATCAATCACAGATTTGTGCCTTTTGTAAAAGGGCTACTGGGATAAAGACGAAGTGCATGTATCCATCCTGCTGTACTTATTTTCATATTTCCTGTTACTATGAGTTTGTTTGGCACAGTGCGCATGTGGTGAGTCAGTGGAGGAGGGGCACCAAGAGGGACGACCGACTCGCCAGCAGGGGGGCGGCGCAGACACACGCGGGGGAGGGGCATGCAGCGGAGAGGCACTGGCGCAACGGTATGGGTAGCGACGATGGAGATTTGGGCGAAAGCAGTGAAAACAACGTTGGCCGTAGGACCGTTGTTGACCGTGGCGGTCGCTCTCGGGAAAAGGAGGCACCCAGTGCAGGTGTTGTAGTGAAAAGCCCCTCTAAGCGAAACTCCCAGGAGCAGTCGCCTGTCGACGCACAGAGGGGGGTGGCCCCACAGGACCCGATCCAGTACATTCGAAATACTAAGAGAAAACTCATGGACAAGAGTGAGCAGCAGATTGGTGGCAGTAGCAGCGGTGCAGCGGTGGGGGAGGGCTCCCAAGGTGGATCGCCAACAGGGCCGACAAATGAATCACCAGCCGAATCACCAAAGATGACCAAAAAAAACATTGAAGCGAAGATGACCCAGACTATATCCCCCTCAACCGCTGACACCGCAGACAAGACAAATCCCCAGGATAAAAAGGAAGAAATGGAGTCGTCGTCCACACCGCTTGCCACTTCAGGTCCCGTCAGATTAGAGGATGACCCCCAGAGGAGCAAAGGCATCATGGATGCGAAGGAAGTTAACAGCGGGGGGGGAAGTGTAGTTAGTAGTGGACACGTACCATCCATCCCAGTGAGTAACACCGTTGGGTATGGACAATGCGATCGGGTTGAAGATAGGAACGGTCATCACCCAGGTGGTGGAGCGTCCAGCCAAGGTTACTTATTAAACGCCCGACGTGGAAGGTGGAAGGGAGGAGTAGTCCCCCTGAGCGACTCCAAGAGGGGTTCATTCGAAGAGGGAAAATTGAACCAAACAGTTCGATCAAAGAGCAGCCACCATCAACATAATCAGATGATGGTGTTAGATCACATGAAGCAAAATGAAATAAAAAAAACTCCCTGCAAAAATACCGAAGTGGGAGGAGATCCTCAAGGGAGGAGATTTGTGGAGAATACAAGTTTGTATAACGACGCCACTACAACAGGAATGAACAGATTGAGTCAGCTCACGTTTAATGATTGTGGGAAATATCCAACGAGGGATTATGTCTCCGTAGGAGGTATCCCTCGCCAGGGTGAGAAGCCAGACGTGAGAATGCACAAACAGCTCATGCAGGGAGAGGAGCACAAACCATGTCAGAAAACGCCACCCAAAATGGCGTCAAAAACGATCCCCAACACGCGAGATCGACCGGATCGACCGGATCCACCGCGGAGGGGTGACGACTGTGAGAGTCTTTCTTCCCTATCGTCTCTCCTATGCCCCTCCGTACCATCCGACTGCGACGAATCCTTATTCGGCTCCATCAGATCGTCCGACCGTTCTCTGTCCCTTCACTCAAATTCGAGTTCGAATTCAAATTCGATGTCTCTCCACTCATGGACAATATCATCGGCCTCCTCTTCATCGTCGAGCACATACGCGTCATCCTCGAGTTGCTCATCCGAGTATGTAACTCCTTCCAAACAAGTAACAATGAGAAAATGGGACATGCCTTCTTCCTCTTCCTCTTCTTCCTCCTCTTCATCCTCCTGCTCCTCCGTGACGTCAAACGTGAATGGAAAAGCCAAGTCCAGATCGACCTCCCCATCTGCAGCGTCAAATAGGTCACATCGAAATAGCAACTCCCTATGTAGCAGCAACTCGGAAGAAGCATTACCCTCCTCATGCGGAGAGGAGGTCTCGCATTCTACGTTGGGGGGTCATATAAGAAATTCAAGCACAAAACATGTTAGTAGTAATACCAACAATGGTAATACTAAGAAGAAAAAGAAGAAGAAAAAAATAAAAAAAATCAGAAAAAAAAAAAAAAAAAAAAAAAAAAAAAAAAAAAAAAAAAAAAAAAAAAAACATACGAACAACACTGTGATGTAACCACGGATACGGAGTGTGGCGGGAGAAACTCCAAGTGGAACACATTAGGACTCTTTACCACCAGCATTTCTAACAAGGGAAACAATTACATGCAAATGAAGAGCATCAAGCTGACCTTGTGCAACGCTCATAACAATGAAAACGACATAACGACTGTGATGAACTTGAAGATAAATGCAGCTAATAATAGAAGGCACAACAACCTGGGTGGTATATTTTTTCATTATTATAATTCGTTCCTCTCCTCTGTGTTCTTCGCGGAGACGTATGCCCACCTGTCGGAGGGGGGAGAAAATGCTAAAGAAGGAGAGGGCACTAAAGAATGGCTGGGTAACCAATGCGGAAACGAAAGTGGAAACCTGCTAGAAGAGAAAAAAAAGGAAGACGAAATGAAGGAGGGAAATAGCAGCACCCACTTGGGAGAACAAGACAGTCGAGGAGAAGCAATCAGCGTAGATGATGCTGTGACAGCGGCAGTCAACCCACCAGACGGAGAAACGACGCATAAACAGAGTGATCACACACATAAGAGAAAAATTGGATGTCTGTCCGCCACGCCTAACTCCGATGGGGAAAACGAGCAGAAGGACATGAGCCATTCAGATAAATGTGGAGAGGAAGAAACAAATGTAGTGCACATATCACATGAAAATAAAAAAAAAAAAGCTAAACTGGATATTGAGGAGTGTGGAGGAGAGCTAACCGGAGTGGAGAATGACACACACAACGGTGAAAGCAATGATGGTGGTAGGTGGCGTGACGAGGCTCACACGGAAGGGGAGGGAAGCTCAGACAATCCTGAAGATAAAAAGAAGGAAAAGGAACCAGCGAACGAGTTGGAAGTAACCACCGACTATGAGAATTCCCCGACGCAAGAAAAGGCCAACGGATATGAGACGATGAAGGATGCGCAAGGAGTAATCGAATTGGGAGTAGAAGCCGGGGAGGTGGATAAACAGCAGCAAAGGACAGCTGATTTGAGTGAGGAGGAAGTGGCCCCACGTCAAGCAAATGACCTCGCGCTTCTCCCCTTCATGAACTACATCAACAGAGTGATCAGCAACGTAGAAGCCACCGTCATCCTGAAGAACAACGTGTGTGAAGGAGTGTACTATTTGAGGCAACAAAATGGTTTAAACATATGCCAGAAGGTTAGCGGTCGATTTAAAAAGAATCTTAAGGTACAAAACATGAAGAAGAAAAAAAAAAAAAAAAAAAAAAAA